ATTAAGAAACAATATCATTAATTGGATACATGCCATAAAGGTGTGCAGGCAATAACAAAAAGTAGTTACATGCTGGAGAGACATTCATGAACTAGCTAAAAAATTGAGTTTTAGCAACTTGATGTGAATATGTGGCAGGGCATAAAAAAATATCTGGAAATTAAAGCAAGAAAGAGTTGCACTTTGTGAATCTTTATAATGAAAAAGAAACCTGAAAAGGAGATCTACTGCTTGCAGGTGTATGAAGCAATGGACACTTGTCAATTTCAAGAAAAATAAATGCTACTGACCATAATCAACAAGTATACAATTATTGCATTCAATATTTAAGCAATATCTGTGATTAAAATAAACACATTATTATTATTGTTTTTAAGTCATTTTGATGAAAGAAAAATAACAAAATAACAATATGATATTCTAACCTGATGTCACAGAACTCGACAGAAAATGAGAATCATCAAATAGTATCATATACATGGCAGTTTATTCCAATAATCCAATTGAACACAAATTCACACGCAATTCATTCGAAAAAAAAATTAAAATTCAAATACACCATCTTAAAATTTGCACAGGAATGATTTTGCCATAACAAATTTTCAATCATCATTATTTACGGTAATTCATAAAACCCTTAACTGACATCGAAGCAAAAAGCATTCATAAACGGATCTCGAAAATACCTTGCAGGAAAAACACGATTTTTTCCTAGGGCAACACCAATAACGAATTAGAGCGTGCTGATAACGTGTTGTAAATTGGGATCCTCAAGCATCCACACCAAACAAAGTAAAGAGAAACGAGCGAGAGAACAAGAGACAAAAGAGCAGAAAAGTCTATCTTTTTATTCATCCTATATCACCCTTTTATAGGGTTTACAAGTGAGAAGCCCTAAAACCTAATTTCCCTAACTAATGGACTTCAGGCCCAATTATCAATTAGTAATGTCCATATACATATATTTATAACACTTCTAAGTCAAATTGGGCCGAAAGAATATTAGCAATAATGATCTGAGAATTAAAAACAATATTGGGTCGGGTCCATGGTTTTAAGTTGACTACCAAATACAAGAATTTGGGCCTTAATAGAACACTAGAAGCTCGGGTCAAAATGGTTCGAAAATGAGTTAAAAACGGATAAGCATCGATTTACACGATTAAACCGAATATCGCCGAACAAAATAAATTCTAATAATTTTAACACATATAAATAATAATTAAACACATGATAATCACATATATAAAGTCACATAGCAATAATAGCAAATAACAACAGATAAAGACAAGCAATTAATAAACAATAATTGAGCAAATAATATAAAACAAGGGAATAAATCAAATAAAATGAAAATAATTAATATTGTAATATTCAGAAAATTCTAATAAACGAATGGGGCGTTACAAAAGATCTATGCTCTTATAGTAAACACAACGAGGATATTATTATTTTTAGCATATATGTATATGACATATTGATAATAAAATAATGTTCCTCACCTACAGTCCATGAAAAGATTGATTATCAAGTACTTTCATTGTGAAGGACTTGGGTGAAACCTGCTATACTCTTGAAATTAAGATCTATGGAGATAGATCTAATAAAGTTTTAGAGTTTCATGGTCCACGTGTGTATTCAAGGTATTGAAGTGCTTCTCCATGGAAAATTCTCAAAAAAAGGAAATATTTCAATGGTCATGACGTCATGTTGCGAAAGAAAGATTCTCTTTTCGTTGATGCCAAACTTGGAAACATGAAAAAGATCGCATATGCTTATGCGATAGAGTCTATCATGCGTGTTATGAAATGTACGAGTTCTATATGGCTTATGCACTTAATTAATATCACTTGCAGATTCCAATGAAATCCTGGAGAGCTATATTAGAATATTGCTAAGACTATTCTTTAGTACATTAGATGGACTAAATGATATATATTTATTCTATGGTGGGAATAATACTTTAATGTCTTACATTTATTTCAATGATAAGGCAGTGAGCTAGTATAGTTCCAATCAATAAACCACTGTGAATTCAACCGCAAAGGTCAAGTACACTGTTACATTAAAAGCATATGGAGGTTGTCTGAATACATAACTTCTTAAATGAACTAGGGGGTAGTTCCAACTGCCGTTCATCTAATATCTACATATTATGATAGAATCAGTGTAACTGCATGAGCAAAGGAACCAAGATCCAGAAATAAAATAAACATGTACAAGGGTGCTATCATATATTTAAAGAGAATTGATAGAGGAGAAATGAGTTAGAACGTGTTCAAGCTGAACATAACTTTTGAATGGTTCGTGCACCAAACAATTGTGCATCGAATGGCACAATAGTCATTTTAAGAAAATGAATATTAGATATATTGGTGATTGCCTCTAGTTCAAGTGGGAGATTGTTGGTATATGTTTCCTAGAAACAATCTTTTTAAGGCATATTTACACGATCACATTAATATTATATTTAATTATAATTATTTAATTATTTGCAATCTTTTCATTAATTGCTCCCTTGACTTAATACCGTCATTAACAGAGTGAGATATTAATTGATAAAGTATAACTATAAAATTGTCTCAATCGATGATCATTAAAAAGTGTTAATGATACGTGATAAATTGACATATGGTCTGCATCATATTCTTTAAGAATATAGTATGTCTCACTACTATGAATAATTGTTATTCGTGATGGACACATGGGTACTTTGTAGATTATTGGTATATGCTACCGATAAACCATTTGATTATGTGTCTGTGGGAGTATCGTAGTGTAGAATGGCATAATAATAGTCCTTTGATTTGAGGTCAATATACAATTCATGTATAGAGTGATTTACTTAGATCTAATCCAATGCTTACGCTCCTCATGAAGTAGATACGGGTATGTGTTGGGTTGATCACGATATAAATGGAATTGGTAGTTGATCCAAGATAGGATTCATTCATCGATTATAGTTTTGAGAGAACACTCATTTTCTTCTATACTTGGTTGGTAAGTCATTGGCCAATGAATGTGATTATATTTGAAACGGTATTCAATATAATTAATTCAAATCAACTAGTAAGATGCGATAAAATGATTAAGTTGTTTGGATGGACACGGGTTCAAATCCTAAGCTTAATTGAATGGTTAGTGAATGAAGGGACCGTATCACCATTGAGTTCTCAACTAAAGGTTTGTTTGTTTTGTCCATGTAAACATACTTCATATTTTGAATTTGTCATTCAACGCAGTCTAGGAGTTTCGTAAAGATCATAAATTAGATTTATGTCAATGTATGAGGGCCTATAAGGTCACACAATATGCAATCAGCTTTCTTACTAAGAGCAAATCGAGAGTGTTAAATATTCAATTGGATTGAAAAATTCATTTATAAGTAATGTTATTATTTTTTATTTGATATAAAATATTTAATTAGGTTAAATTGAATTTTATTTAATTAAATTGTTAATTGAATTAAGTCCAATTACTTATTGGGCTATAGGGTATCCTAAGGCCCATATAATTAAGTTTGACCAAATTATAAATAAGTCATTATCACATTGTAGTCTTTTGAGCATGTCTTGAGAAACATTTGAGAGATCACAAAATCTTTAATATTGAAAGACAAGACCTTCTGGTTTTCTAGACTGAGGATTCCTAACTTCTTCACTGGAAAGGATATTGGCGTTAGATCGTGTACCGGAAAACTGGATTGCGTGGATACCATAGTTGAGGGCAAAGCTTACGAACAATTGTAAATTTTCGTTTTTATTCACGCGACTTAGGGTTAGATCGAATAGCTATAGCCATGCTTTGTTGTTGGTAAGAAAAATTTAAAATTTCGCTGCACGTGCGCTTGATTCGTACTTCTGAAATCAAAAACTCGGATCCTTTGTGTTGTCATTGACGCGGGCTAGGTTCCTACTTCTCTCATTTAGTTTGCTCTCGTTTGGACGCTCGTTTGCTGTCCTTCATTGTGCTTTGTATCATGTTAGGCTAATTAGCTTTTAATTTGTGTATTTTTTTTGAGTTATAACATATGTGGTTTAAGAAAATAAAAGAAAGAAAGAAAGCTGTTTCCAGTTTTCCTACTAGATAGTAACGTTGAAGGTATAATTTCAACAGTTTTCATTTATGAACTAAAGGTTCCTAATTATTTGACTGAGACTATTTTGTGACTGTCAATGTGGACTTGACGTAATTTGGATGCAAGAATTAATCTGGCCTCTCTATCCTAACTAATATCCTTATTAATCATATCGTCTTAGTCCCATCCACATAACAATAATTAAAAACTTAGTGAACGATAGCTGCCTGAATAGACATCATTAGTATATCTCATTGTTTTAGATTTTAATATCCAAAAGCGAGATTCAATTGATCATATAAATTTTAGTATGACTTTTCGGGAGCATTTTTTTTTTTCTTTTTCCAACGCATTGTCTTTTTTTTTTTCCTTTTCTTTTATCAAATAAATTTAAATTCACTTTATTTGTCAACTACAAATGTGTTTGGTTTTTAACGAATTGTGCAGACATGTAACTTTAGTACAACACTAGAAGGCTACACAGCCGGCCCAAGGAAGGTAAATATTTGATGGGTATGAAGATATGAAGCGGTAAGAAGAATATAGGAATCAACACATTACATTAGTGAAATACTAATACACAACATATAATCGTCAAAATAAGACAGAGTAGTTGGTAAACACTAAGAAAATATACCAAGTTTGTATTAGAATTCAAAAGCATCTATATGTAAACAGATGCTTAGAATTCTAGGTAATACAATTGGTAAACACAAAAGTTTAGTTTGTGTGGCATATATGCCATTAAGAAGGTACAAAATGCAGCAACATATATATGTCAATAGATTGCTGCAGTAGTTGGCAATATAAATACAAAACACAAAAGATACAATCCATAGAATCTGTGTTTCCAAAAAGTGTTACTGTGAAATCATAGAGCAGCTAATCCATTTTTGGCCGACTTTTCTTTGTCGGGCTTGCATCACACACTCGTACTGGTTTGATGAGTTTGCTGGGTGGATGATCCAGGAATGTTGGTGGATGGGATGCTGGTTCCTGAGGTGGAGGATTGATGAGGGTCGAAGCTGATGCGTTTTTTGACCGTTGATTCCGAAGCTGCAATTGCTGTAGGCTTTTCACGTGCTGGAGTGAGGGAGTTAAGAACATTTTTTAGCGTTGGACTGAAGAGCTCTTTGTCTGTTATCTGTTTTGCGAATATAGAATGGCTGCAGTAAGATATTTGTCCAATAATAATTTCATAGAATTTTCATATATGTCATTTTTGATATTGTACCTTGTTTGAAGCTGAGACTGACCCTTCTTGAGCTAGCTCTGTAGGTCGAAGCAAATTTTTGTCTGTTTGCATACCATCAATTGTATAAAGCTTGAGGACGGTGTGATGAGTTGATTCATAGTGTTTGATGAAGCAAACCACATGATGTTCACTCATTGCTGCTGCAATCTGAGCAGCCAAATCCACTCCCTGTACCAAGAAGAAAGATGTATTTTACAATAGTTAAATGAAAATGATCTAGAATACCTGGTAAGTGCAAAATTATGATGATTGATTATGGAAAGCAATAAACAGTGGAACAGATACTTGTATTTTGTCCAAACCAAAACAATAGGGTAATCACTGTGTTTATTATGTTTTTGGTGCTTATTTTCGTGTGTTTTATATGTCTTAGTGTGGTCTTTTTAGGTTCATTTTAGGGTCATCCGGTCTATTTTATCGTGTTTCGTGTATTTTCCTTGTTTTTCTTTTATTCTATTTTTGGCGTACTTCTCTGTGCTTTTGGGTGTATTTCAGATTTATTCCGTGGATGAAGAGAAGGGTCGAACTGAATTCTAAGAAACGAGCATTTTCGAAAGAATCCCAAGAAGTTTCGAACCAATCGTACGAGCCGTCTCCATTCCGAGAATTTCGGGCCATGGTGCCGCTGCCCAGGGCCACTCGCGACCGCGCGCCAGGACCTGTGCCTCATGGACGCGAGATGCTGCTGTCCCGGAACCTGCGACACGCGAAGACCTTCGCGACCTCGAGAGTAGTCCCTTGCCTCGCGCTGAGTCCGTGCCGTCCCCGCGTCCGCGCGCGCAAAGTCTGCCGCGGGATCGAGAGTATCGGTCTTGCCCTGACGCCCCCATGTCCGCGCCGCGCGAAAGCCACCGCCAGGTCGAGAGTATCACTTCCCCTGCGCCCGCGCCTCGCGACGACACCCGCCAGCTCAAGAGTAGTGGCTTCCTCCCCGTTCGCGCGCGCGAGCCCGCTCGCGACGTCGAGAGTACAGATTTTCCTCGCGCCGCACCAACCTTCTCCCCGCGCCACCTCGTGCCTAGTCCACACCATGCCCTGCCCGCGACACGCGAATTTACCGGCGAGCTCGAGAGTATCTGTTAGTAAATGTGCGTGAAACTAGTGTGTGTTTTGAGCTGCACTATAAATACATTTTGGTCCTTTGTAATTGAGAATCTAGATTTCATTTTTCACTTTCTCACTTTGGGAATAGCTATTTTCTTTCTAGTTTTCTCTCTTCTCTCTCTTGGGAGCTCTATGACATCATTTTCCGGCGAATTTTCCGGCGACTCTTATTTTGTTCATGTTCCAAGCTTTTGACTCCGATTTTCGTCTAGCACACAATAGAAGATTGAGTATTTATTTTTAAATCTCATTACTTCGATTTTTGCCTCGTTTTTACTTATGGAATTTTTCAAGGTGAATTTGAGTGTTTGTTTGATGATGGAGGATATGCTTGGACTTGATCATTGCTCATGCTTGTTTTAGTAGAGACTAATTGCTTGCCTATCTAGATTAAGGATTAGGACTCTATTTAGAGCTTAATCACTTAGGTTAGAAGGTTGGGATTAGTGATCTAGTGTTAGAACTTGCATACTTCTCGTTGTTGATTCGTTTGATGTTGATAGCTTAGAGACTCCGGTAGTGTTAATTGCTTAATTCTCTAGTTAGTTTGTTGCTTTCAATTCCGAGCATCGATTAGCATTAATTCACACTCAAACCCATTGATTAGCATGTTTAGCTTTTATTTTCTCATTTTGTGTGATTTGGACAATTGAGTGGTGAACAAAGCTCCGAACTGTCTTCCTTTGAGAACGACTCGAGGTCG